CACACTGACCAGGATTTAACACGACAAGAAAAAAGGCGGAGGGAGGTTTGGATCCCAGCTGGCGCGGCGGGAATCTGCACCTGGACGCGACGCCACATCCCCATTTGTTATGAGTGCGCACTCTCAACAACGTCCACCGGACCCCGATTTGGTCTCCGTGTTGGTCCAGCGCATTTACTGTCTGACATGCTGTAGCGACAAGGGTGAAAAACAAGATAACAACTACGCACGACCGAGGGTCTTTTAAAGGCAGGGATCAAGGAAACCGGAGTGAACATTTCGTCAGTATGGTTCGCAGTTCTTAATTCGATGCTTGTTTATTGATCCACGCACTATACCAGTTGGACTATAGGTTTACACTGGGAAATTCTCAAGGTGACATGTTGGCAATCCTCATCAATGTGGCCCAACTGTCTAGTGTTCTTGCACGCGGCCTGTAAACAGACTACATAGAGGCACATAAACCACACACGGTTGAAAATATAACAGAAACTCTGTCATATAGAGATACGCCATAGAGCCTCCCACCCATTGACAGGGTCGTCCTTCCCTGCAGACTAATGCGTGCGAGTAGACTAAATTTGAGGAGTCCTGGCAGTTGCAAGTACCTACTTCCTCTTTATAATTTCCCTTTGTAGCACCGGTAAAGAACCGTTCTGTGGACCCGGTTGTGGTTGAGTTCCACTTGCTCTCTTCCAAGACCAGACACGCGGATGTCCCCACTGGGCATCAAAATACGGTTCACGCGGAAGGCCACGCAACACGCATAAAATCTGACCTTGCCAACACAGGACTGCGAAAAAAGATGATCGCAGACCGGACTGCGGTGGCTTGAGAAAGTCAGGCGCACATAACGCTCGCGCGTGCTGCCAAGGGGAGACAAGCCTTAGGCCAGCGGCCGTGGGTGGATGACGCATCGGGCAAACGCTGCTGTAGCGCAGTCAAGGCAGCGCTTATTACTCAGCCCGCTCGGCCAGGCAGGTTATAACCAATCAGAAGTCCGCCCGGATTTCAATAGTGCTGATAGGCAGGTGGCTGACCGCCCCCACACCGCTGTTGTCTATTCGCAACAGAGTGGGAAGTGGTCACATGTGAGGCATGAAGAGGCTTGTCCATAAAGCTTTCCTTCGGGTTGCTGGGTGTAGAAGCATCTGTGTTAAAAGTAGCGATCAATCCGTGTTTTCTCACCCTTCTGAAGTTCGGGTAAGTTTACAAGTGGAACAAAATTTAGGGAACTTGTTCTGCTCACACAGGAAAAGGAGATGGCCTGTATAGTGTTTCCCAGAAGGGCTGTGTAGGTCAATTTTATTGAGAATTTGGTGTTATATCCGCGTCGAACTCATGTCTCCGGATCTTAGGTTATCTTTACCAACTGCTGTATTTTGGTCCTCACTCCACCTTCTCCTGGTTCTTCCAATCCTATCGATCAAATAAAATGCTTATCAGCAAAAGAAACACAACGTCTAAATGCAGTTAAGTAAGAGTCATAAACCTTCTGCGGGGAAACTAAATAAAAAGAACTGGGTCGTCTAAAGACGGCTAAGAACGAGCGATAAACGCAAAAGAGGGCATGATTTTGCAGAAAGAACTTTATTTTTGTGCTCGAGCAATGCGTGTATTATGTAGTAAATAGCGAAAATGACTATGTAGGCTGGGAGGGGTCTGATACTTCTGACTAAGATAGGATGTGGTTGTGTAGCCCCACCTGATGGTTGGTATTAGGGTTAGGGGTTAGGGTTAGAGTCAGGCACTACGGTTAAAGGTTATGGTTAGGGTTAGGGGTTATGGCAACTTTTTATCAACTACTCAAAGTGTAGCCGTGCATTTCCATTTGCTTTTTGGCATACAATTACTTGACCTCGTCGCCTGTGCGTTCACCGACTGCACCTGCAAGAACCCCTTTTACCACCGGTCCTGCATTAGAGGTGACTGGGGTTTGTTTACTTCAGGTGGGGCTACATAATCACATCTGACCCTGACTTACCATCAGGGTTTCAAAAACGACTTCCCTGAGTTAATAAGAGTTGAGTCGAATGCTGGGCCAGTGAGTCACGAGCAAGTTGGCCTTGTACTGTCAGTTGCGATCGGTAGTAACTATCGCCGGAGGGTGATTGGCTGATCAGGTTACAGGGCGTACTTGTCTCCTCGGGGCTCAACCTAGTGCCGTCGTAGGTAGTCCCTTGTCTTTTTTCAGTAATTCCTTCTGTATATACTGGTAGAGGGGCACTTACCAATCGGGTTAGGGAACACACTCGTCCCGTTGTGCCTTGGGGTTCACTCTCGGGCCCCGTCAGCAACCGCACAGCGGCGCGTGATATAGGCTTAACGAGGTTTCCAATAAAAACAAGGCAGACTAGAATGGCCATCTCTGGCTTGTTAGCCGTCATCAGCCAGCCACGTCCAACCCCGAGGTGTTCAATCCCCGAGACTACTAAGGTAGAAGTGGCCATGCCAGTCTCTTTCGTCTTTGTCGGTTATGCCTATATCATATTCGACCGTCATGGCCGACTATGCCCACCAGGTAGCGGAGAACTTCCAGTACACACCAGAATTTGGGGGCCATGGTTTTCTGATCCTGGAATAGCAGAAGCTTACAACCCTTAAGACTCAGAAGGATGACACACAGGCCTGAATTTGCCTGGGCCATCACCGTTCAAAGGCTGGAGAACCAATCAGCCATCGACTGGGAGGCACTACTCATAAAATACCCAAACACACACTCCTCACATGCGTGAGAGTGTAACAGATCAATCTGAGAAGGAGCCATAGCAGCCTGACTCTCAGCCCGCGAGTCCTCCACTCCACACGAACGCACAAAACTGGGCGGACTGCGTGGACCGACTTGAGGTGTCAGTCAGCAGCCTTCCAAGCCACAGCAACTGGCTTAGCGTCAAAGTCTGACTCGGATCACGCATGCAGCAGAAGAGCTGCATGGAGAAGGAGCCGAGAAGAGCATTTGAAAATTGCGTGGGAGGTGACACTTGGGTGCATTTAATGAGTGCGTGTAATGAGTGATTATGTTGTGAGGGGCGGGTACTGGTGAGGGAGGGTGTAGTTGCGGTTGTCTACCACAGGTCTTCGTGAATTCGCATGCGACCCAACAGGCCCATTCGATGAGTGGGTGTGCGGGAACAGTGTGGACAGTGGAGGCGGATGAGACGAGGTTAGGTTGGTGCTCCAGCCACCGGGTCACCAGCCCCTGTGCGATGGATTCGCGAGTGGCCAATCGGGCCGATGGGGGAGGTGACTGTACGGGGACAGTGTGGGCAGGATATATCGGTGGTGTCAGGGTCGGTCTCGGTGATGGTGGCGGTGGTGGGGCTGATGCTGATGGGCGTGCTGGGCGGCAGGATTATGGTTGGGTCAGGCATGGTTGATGTTTAAGATATCATAGGTATGTTGATACTAGGATGAATTCCGCTTTCGTGGGTACGCATGTGACCTAGAAGGCACATGCGTTGGGTGAGTGTGCGGGGCAGTGGGGAAAGTAGAGACACAGATGGGATTGATTCTCCAGTCTCTGTGCGATGAATTTGCAAGTAACCAACCAAGAGGATGTGTGAGGGGAATTAACGATCGCAATGGGGACAGGTATGGACCGAGTCCACATCATTTATGTTGGTGGAGGTAAGGTTAATGTTTCACAATGCGTGAGGATTGTGGTGGTGGGGGCATGAGCCGCCGCAGCAGATGTTGAGGCGGTGGAGGATGGCGATGGGAGATCAGGATTGCTTGTCGAAGTGGGGGGCGAGTATTGATAGACATCCGCTTTTGCAGTTGGTTCAAAGGCGCCCAGTATGACCGATTTGTGCCCCGGACGTCCTCTGGCATCCTGGGGAGTTTGAGACGGTTGAGAGTTGGCGTTTCAAGATGGGTACAGTTGAGATTTGCGAGCTATGCATTTGGTTTTGACGAAGGTGAGGCTATTGCCTTTGAAGATTGGTGCGCCTGTCTTCATTGTTCTCCTCCACCTATGTCGGTCCCGGGCGAGGTATTCCAATTTGATCGAGTTGATCTGCAGGCGCTTCAAGGAAGTCCTCCGAGTATCCTTGTATCGGCGAATTTGGCTTCCTTGGCGACGAGAACCCGTAGAGACGTCTCCGTAGAGGAGTCGTTTGGATAGCCGCTCATCGTCCATCCGTACGAGGTGGTCGCTCCAAGGCAGTCACAGTTGTCTAAGCATGGCGTAGATGCTGAAAATTTCTGTCTATTCCAGTACATCTGTGCCTGGGATCCGGTCCTGCCATCTCAGCTTTAGTATCCATCGAAGACGACTGAGGTTGAAGAGGTTGAGCATCCGCGCCTGCTTCATGTACACTGTCCAAGTCTCTGCTCCATACAGTTACGTCGGGAGGATGGCGGCCTTGTAAACCCTCAGTTTGGTGCTGATGTGGAGACCGTATCGATTTCAAACTGTGTTTCGCAGACGGCTGAAGGCGTGGCTGGCCTTGGAAATCCGGCAGGCAACTTCATCACCACTTTCGGTGATGCTCAGATATGTTAAGTTGTTCACTGCTTGCAGTTGGGCGCCGTTCACGTTGATTTAAGATGCATTTTAGACATCTTTGGGTGACGGTTGGTGCATAACCACCATCTTGCTCGTGTAGACGATGAAGCCGACGTTGTCGATGGTGACGACGAAGGGTTCCATGCTTCTTTGCATGTTCTCTTCCGAGGTGGCGTTGAGAACGTAGTCGTCGGCAAAGAGAAGTTCGTGGATGATAGTTGTGGATATACGCGACTGCAAGTGCATCCGCCGATGATTGAGGAGTTGGCCGTCGTCCAATAGGTGACGCAGATCCCCGGGCGTTTATCACAGTTGACGTCCATTAACGTGGCAGTAAACATGAGACTGAAGAGTGTAGGCGCAAGGATGCAGGCCTGTTTCACTCCGTTAGTCACTACGAATGTCTCTGAGACGATTCCTTTGTCCCTGACGCTTGTGGAGCTGACGTACCATCTGAGTGAATCGCTCGGGACAGCCGAAGTTCTGTATGATTTTACACAGTCCTTCGTGATTTACCGTGTCTAGGGCTTTCGTCAGATCCAAAAATGTAGAGTACAGGTGGGTCCGCGTTTCCTGGCACTTCTCCTGAAGTTGGCAGGCTGCGAAGATCATGTCTGTGGTCCCACGATGACGTCGGAAGCCTCACTGGCTTTCCGGCAGAAGACCTTGTTCGAGGTGGTTGTTTAAACAATTGAGGAGGATGCGAGCAAATATTTTCCCGGCGATATTCAGCAAGGAGATGCCTCAATGATCGTCGCAGAGCTGTTGGTTGCCTTTCCGCTTGTTGAGATGGATGATTGTGGCGTCCCTGAGGAAATTTTCCCTGAAAGGGGGCTGTCAGAAGTTGGCGTCCACCACGCTTTTCAATCTCAGCAGTGATCGCGTCCGATCCGGACGTTTTCCAGATGGAAAACTGCTGCATGACCCTGATGGTTTTGTGGGAATAGGGCGGGAGACCGAGGTCGGCGTTGATCTCCACCTGAGGCAGACGGGCGATGGCGGAGTCGGAGATGGTGGAGGGACAGTTGAGGACGCCTCTAAAGTGCTCGGCCCATCGCTCCAGAATTCGCGTCTTCTCAGTGAGAAGGGTAGTGTTGTCAGCGCTGAGAAGAGGAACGGTTCCTTCAGTTGTCGAATCGTAGACAGCCCTGATCGCAGCGAAGTTCTGCCATTCGTTACAGCCCACGCAGCCTTGGATCATCTATGCTCTGCGAGCCGCCCAGATCCCCTGCATCTCCCTCAGTCGATGTTGCACATGGTGGCGACTATAAAAGAAGGCTGCTTTGTTGTCGTCGGTAGGGTGGTTGACGAAGGCTTTGTAAAAAGGGTTCTTCTTGACGAGTAGGTGGCGCATTGTCGTCGAAACAGTCCTGATGTTAACGGCCTGCGTGACCGAGGACAATCAGGGCGCTCGACTGATTCGTGTCCCCCAACTGGCACCATCGATTCCCCACGAAGGCGTTCTCGTCGGTACGGCGGCGGCGGCGGCGGCGACTACGACGACGACTAGTCGTTGATCTAGCTCATTGCTGAAGTGGTGATTGTGAGCAGGCAAAGGTAATAAAGCAATATTCAGCTTTCCTGGGGGTCGCTTACCTTGAGATCTCCTGCGTGGCTGTAGGCGGATCTGCATCTTAGAGAGGACGAGGCGATGATCGGTCCAAGCGTCGGCAATTGGGATGCCTTCAGAAAGTCCGGCTGACTTTGCCTCCGGACGAGAACATGGTCCAGGAGACGCCAGTGTCACGACCGAGGATGCATCCAGTTCGCCTTCTACCACGTAGGTAGACGGAAGTAGGTGTTGGTTAGGATCAGACAGTGTTCTGCGCCGGTTCGTAGAGGGGAGAAGGTCATTGTCATTGGAGTTGCCGAGACCGTGGGGATCCAGCACTCTTCTCCAGACATCTGGCGCGGACGCTGAAGTCATCAAGAACAGTCAACTTCTACGCCTTCTGCACAGGCGTTAGGAGGGGATGCAGGTCCTCGTATTATTTGTTCCTTTCCGCGTCAGGTCTGGTCATCGGGGAGGGGAGGGCGTAGGCGCTGACGATGTTGACGAATTTGCCTCCCTGGAGAGGCAGGCGGGGTCCTATCAAGCTATCTTTGATGTCATGCGACAGACAGGGCAGTCGTCCCACGATGTCGTTCCAGATGGCAAAGACGTCACCCGTGTCCCGTCGCACCGCCTTAAGACAACCGCTTCAGAAGAAGGTGTAGCCAGCATCCGCTTCCCCTAGTTGACTTTGTTCGGAGAAACGGGTCTCGCTGAGTGCGGCAATGTCCAACTTGTAGCGCTCCAGTTCCCGAGTCACTAGCGCCTTTCTACATTCTCGTCGGCTGCTCCTCGCATTGTCTAAAAGCGAACAAATAGTCCGGGCTGCCAGAGTGAACGGACTCACCCTAGCTGTGTGTGGGGTGGGAAGATGATAGGGATGAGGAGGAGGGTGGAGGAGGAGGAACAAGAGAGAGAGAGATTATTTTTTCCTGTGTTTTGGTTTCGATCGCACATTAAGCAGTCTGGGAGCCACGGTCTGCGCGTAGATATCGTGAACCCAGCATTTGTTTAGGGCACCTTTTATAGCCCGTTTTCCTCAGGGAGGAAAGCAGTGCTTTGTCACACCAGATGGATATCGCTCTCCACTATGAGTCACGGGCTTTAGCGAGAGAACGACCGATGGCCTGGGCCGCCGATGTGATTGCATGTCGTTCTCGCCGTAGGGTTTCCGACCATGGAGTAAGAGAGTAGATTAGAGGGTATAGAGGAAAGAGAGGGAGGAGTGGATCGGAGAAGGGGCAGAAGGGTCGGGGAAAAGCGGGTAGAATGATGGATGAGAAGGAGCGAAGGAGTACAAGGAGGGCGGGGAAGAGCAAGCAAAAGGTGTGGACAAGAGGAAAGAAATAGGAAGGGAAGGAGATGGGATGTGGGGAGGATGGGGGGAGAAGGGGAAGGAAGAGGAGAGAGTGGAGCAGAATTACTGTGTGAGAGGGTACACACGAATACCTTCACCTGGTTTAGTCCACCGGCCCTGGCAGTTGTCGGGGGGGGGGGCCGCTGGGGAGTGCCTTTCTCGGAGGGACCACATGTGAGATGTGGGGGCCAGTTAATGGGCACTAGGCGTAGTCAACACCTGCAAGCCAGTGATCGATCAACTACGACCTTCACATCGACCCGAAACTGGACACCCCTACACGCCATTCTGTCTATGCACACCTGCCTTGGCAGTACTCCCGAAGAGGGTCCTAGTGCTGTATTTGGCCGCCGTCCGACGTCTTTGTTGCAACTTCGTGTCTGCTACCACCTATCATATTCGCTCGTATTTCCATGGAGGGTCGCTGTATCAGTGGGAAGCCTGCTGACTACTAAACATTTTTCAACTGGGGATTCCGAGCGGCCTAATACAGCTCTATTAGTAACACTAGTCATTAAATGAATTTTTAATGCACGCTGTAAAACTACCTCTGTAGAGTAGGACGAAGAAAATGAAGCTGATAGATATCCATGATCTGCCCCACAGCAGGGTGGACGCAGAAGCGGGGAGTTCATAGTGGTAGCAGGCTTGCGCAGCACCTAACACACTCCCTCCCCCCGTCAAATTCCTGGACCCGTAGTCAGGTGTGAGTTAAAAATACCCGAGGTAGGACTGGGCGCGGATGGCGGGCGAGTCGCGAGCCTGCGCATAGATGTGCCGCTACACCCCTCGTGTGCGACTTTTGTTAGGGGCGCGCGTCCCCATTAATTCTTGACGCGTCCGGATCTGGTCCCCCCCCATGTTGGTCCGGCGCGTTCGCCGCGGGACAAAAATCACTAGCATTATAACTGTCCTTAATAATGCTCAAGATCAATTGCAAATGTGGTGATACCCCAGCTTACGTTTCTTTGCTACAAAATTACAAAATCCCCATGAGATCTCCATGGAAATCTTCATTTTAAAGTATATTGTATCTCAAAAGAAGAGGGGGCGTTCACCGTGATATGCCACCTGGGAATCGGATTTTCACTACTCTTGATGTATATTGTATCTGCTTGTAAGGGGACAGCAGGTGGCCTCTGTCCTTGCAAAAGCATCTTAAATACATTTATGGTAATATTGTAGAACGTAAATAAAAGAACCGCGGGCACACCTTCAAAACATCTTACTCGCCGTTGGAGCAGAAGGGATCTTGAATTTAAGGGCGAAGTGTATCTAATCAGTTCTTGGCTTCAGCGATCGATAATACGTGTTTAATCCAATCAAAGCACTTGATGACAGTTCGACCATCGGTTTCGATGATGTCCCCCGTGTGCCCCACAACTGCAGCAGCAATGGGAGCAGATAAAGGTGACTTACGCAGGGGTTTATAGTGCCGGTAGACTTGCGTAGCATCTACCTACAATCTCTCCTCCTCCCTCGCCCGAGCCCGGTGTCAAGACAGAGTCAAGAAGACCGGAGACGAGAGAGGCCGCAGGTGGATGGCTCGGACGGATCCTCACCTTGGCGCTCTACTCCGCACCCCCTGGTCTACACAACAAATAACCAGGATTTCAACCAAGGCGACAGAGATTTGGAGGCTGGCACGGCCGAGGCCGCACCTGGGCGTGCCGCCAACGCCTGGCTCGGATCCCACACTGTGATGGGAGTGCCATAAACGCCACATTAAAAAGGAGCCATTGCAGCCTGACTCTCAGACCGCCTCCGGTCAAGGAGGAGGTCCAAGATACCCCGTCAGTTGGCAACCTTCCAAGCCAGGGCTTTTAGCGCACCGTGATAGCTTCAAGCGCGTCAGATTGTCTATAGTGAGGAGGAAGTGCGCTGAGTCGTCGACCTCACTCTCCCTTCCCACTCCCACACCCCAGCCGCTGTCCGAGCCGGTCAGCAGACTGGAGTGGGGAATGGGCGCGGTGGCTTCATGGTCGAATGACCATGACTGCGCGCGCCACGGCACGACCTGGTCCCCCCATACACACAAACACCAGGATTTCACACAACGGGGGTTGAACGGCGTGTCTCTCACTTGCGTGAGAGTGCCGTGGAAGGTGCTGCTTCAGCCCGTCCCCTGCCCACCAGTCCGCCACTCCACACAACACACACACACAACGTGACGAACTGCGTGGACCGAGTGGGGGCGTCAATCAGCAACCTTCCTATGCACGACGCTTGACGTGTCGGGATAGTCTCGGACTCAAGTCACCCGTGCAGCCGAAGCCGCATGGGGACCGAGTCGAGATGCGGACTTCCCACTTGCGTGGGAGGTGGCAGTTGGGTGCATGAGGTGTGTGAGTGTTGATTTCTGGTGCGGTGATGGTGGTGGTGGAGGCAGAGAGTGAGTGAATGTGTGGTGTGGCCGGCGGTTGTCTACCGCAGGTCGTTGTGGATGCGCATGTGGCCGAATAGGCCCATGCGATGTCTGAAAGTGCGAGGGCAGTGTGGGCAGTTGAGACGAGCTTGGTGGGTATAGGTGGGTGCTCCAGGCACTGGTTCGCCAGTCTCTGTGCGATGGATTCGCAAGTGACCGACCAGGCCGATGCACTTGATAATAATGCTCTGGAAACATTGCGCGTGCTACCATTTCCCGACAGTTCAGCAATTAGAGTAAGTACACAGCCGTTTCATAAACGGCCAAGGAGATAACGTCGTCCTAAGAACTAATTCGCGCGTTTTGCTTAAAGTGAGCGAGGTAAATGTCCCCAGCTCTCGTGGCCTACGTCGAAAGCGACAGAAACAATTGTCTTGTTTAATTTCCGAGGAAATTAATGCGCGAACTTGGAGAAAATCTTTCGAAACGGGCTTTTTCAGGCACGCTCCAACTTTTGATATGAATATTTGAGCTAAAATCCATCAGCTACTGCGGAATAACCGCTTAATATTCACAAATCGTCAACAGGCAGTCAGTAGTCTAGAACTGTGCAATGATTTACCGTACTATTACCGTGTTAGTACGGTAAATCATTGCACGAAAACAATTGTGTATACCTCAATATAGTCAGGGCGCCCAGCAGGTCGCTTGAATGCGGAGTCTAAGTATCTGGAACCTGCATTAAGACCTCGAATTCAGGATCCTTCGCTAGAAGTCCAGATGGAATTTCATCAATTTTACTCATTCTGCCCTGATAGATGATCCAGATTTCTGGACCGTCAGAAAAGGATGCCAGTACAACGTACGTGCGTCTTTTTCAGTTGAACTTCGGTCCTCGAGTAGTAGGCCGCGGTTTTATCGCAGACCGGGCTTCCTATTTATGCGAAGTAATTGATGATATGTTGAACTGATGACAGTTTACCGGTCCATCGATGTGCTGCTAATTAGTGCTCCATGAGTATTTTGTCCGTATTGAGCTGTTCAGCTCAAAATCTGCGTATTTGAAGACGATGATTTAAAGGTCCCGTTGTGCCGCCACTCCCTCGATGTAGTCAAGGTCAATTTAGCGGACAAACTGAAGGTCGTACCACTTGCATGGGTTAGCTCCAATCGAAGAGCTTCCCGTTCCTGAGGGGATTCGTTTCAGTTGTTGTCCATCAATATGGAGAGGAACATGTGGCAGGAGAGGCTTGTGACGGGTACACCGCACAGTCTTATTTAGTGTTTCGCAATAAAAGTCATCTGAAATCATTCAACTGACGATAGCATATGTCTATATACTCGAAATTCTCCCGGAATCCACATTTTTAATTTCCTTCAGGTTTCTGTTTACTTAGAGACTATCGAGAGTCACTTGTGCATTGACACAGTTTGTGAAAAGGATAGTCCAAATCTCACAGAGTTTATCTCACAGGTGACTGCCAGTAAAGGTCATGCCAACAGGTTAGCGATCTTTTGGAGATCCGTCATTCGTTCCTTATTGAGTGAGATAGGTGACTCCATGCGCAACTGACAGTTACCGTATTTGTAGATCTGGGCGGCATTTCGTCTGCTGCTAGATCCTCTTCTCCGGGCAGTAGCTGACATGTTTTACTAAGTCCTCCGGGGGTCGGAGGAAGATCTTAATTGACAGTAAATTCAACCTACAGCTGCCTGTTGGGCGCCGGTCTACAGATTGAAGATAGGCGAGTGATGATACTCTGAGAGGATTCAGTCCAGCTCCTTGGAATCTACATGTGCTCTGATGGCAGCGCAAAGCTAATCTTGCGATCATTTGCGCACCGAAGGTCACCTCGATGGCTACTTACGAATCCCCTTTCGCTTTGGACTTCTACCGGGTTTTTCTCATCTCCCGAGGTCACCTTTTGGTTTCCGGAGTCAGCTAGGGAAAGTCACTTCGTTG